GGACAAGACGTAGCTTGCATGTACCGCCGCTTCACTTTCTTGCAATACTTTACTAAACATGGACTGTTGCTTTTTCACTCCTAACTTGAGCTCTTTCAACTTTTCTTCTCTCATTAATCCTTCGTAATTGTTATATTTCGATTTGTGTTGTTCGTAATGACGTTTAATATTAAACTTTGGTACATTAATAGTATTATTACATATCAAGCAGATTATTTTATCTTTTATTTCACAGCAAAAATATTCTAATTCCCATTTTACTTGGAATATTCTATGTTCGTCAGCGACTTTTCGTTTAATTTTACTACCACTTGGTTTTGATATAGACATACTGAATACAAACGGCTGGAATAAACACGGTTAACGTTAAAAAGTTAACAAAAATTTATTCTTTCCAGAAGAGATAAATCAAAATGCCGAAATATTTCTTCAAAAATATTCTAACAATATCACAACAATATCACATTATAACAATATCACAAAATGTCAAACGTTTAGCAAAAATCAATTCAAAACAGAGAAACTAATTCTATCTCACAGCGAAATCGCTACAAATCAATCACAGCATTAAGTAAACAAACAGTTCGCTAGAACTACAGCTACTACTACTGAGATGAGTTGTTTTGTTCTCGGCTTTTATAAGCTTTATAATTAATTAATTTCTCGAATATACTGGAAACATCTATAAATATCTGGATTTTTGTGGATGGCAACAGCAATTACGAGATATTTATTTATTAGGTATTATTAAATGCACGCGCTGTTCTATTTTTAACCTTCCAACGCAGCTGTCTTTTCAAAAATCGTCTGCGTTGCTAAGGCAACATGAAGCAAATCTAATTACAATTCTAAATAAAAAAAAACTAAATAAATAAATAACTATGAAATCCGTAACAATATGAATTAAGTAATAATTAATAATAAAGCCAAGTGCATGCACATGCCTGCACCAATATATCGTACAAAACTATGATTGGTAAACTGAGACCATGAGTTCGGCCACATTCGGCTATCGGGGGATGCGTACAAGTTCTGAGTGCACGTGTCCCCCAAAAGCCGAAGGTAGCTGAACGCAAGCTACTCACACGCATTTGTAATTTAAGTAGTGTGTGTGTCAGCTCGCTGTGAGTAATCTAAAAACACTGAATAAATTTTCGTTAATTACTTAACAGTAAACATTTCATTTTTTTCTTCGTCGATATGTTATTTTATTATTATATATTATTATTTGCCGATATATTGGCCGGGCCGCAAAAATATTTGTTGTGGGCCGCATGCGGCCAGCGGGCAGCGAGTTTGACATCCTTGCCTTACATACACAACTATACCTAATGTGCTAACCTCGAAAGTGCTTTAAACTTTAGTGTAAATTGGAGAGCCTAACTTAACTTCAATCATGCTTGCTTGCAAGTAAGTCATATAAGTCTTCATATAAATTCATCAACTATTAGTTAAACGTTGAAGCATTTTTACTGCTAACATGAAACCTTTCACTTTTGAAATAAAATAGCTTTGTAACATTTATGCATATTCACACACAAAATACTAAGAAATTTTCAATATTCAGTTAACTTTATATCACTAGTACATACTTGCTTTACATTGTTTATGAAAATTTCTCCAACAATTCTAATTTTAATTATTCTCACAAATCTGAGTCTTTCTTGACTAAAATTATGAATGTATTAAATTATCACGAACTTGCGAAAACAACTTTAACTAAACAAATATGATCTCGCCTGAGGTAAAAACTAAAATTAATAGCAACTTTGTGCAAAGATATAAAATTAAACTGAATTTTCAAATATGAAAGAGAGGAAAAAATGAAATTTGCTTTTCTCGAGAAAACTACTTCCAAGTAGGGAAACAATTCAGTCTTTGGACTCTGACTTTCCTTTGAGGCCGACCTTTAGCTTGCGGCGGGGGTTCATTTCTCTTTAATCCTCTGGCGATGAATCGTCGAGTCTTTCTCAGAGTCTGTGGGAATTGGAAGTCTGGTCTGGAACTTCGTGGGAACCGAGTTTCTTGCGTTTGAATTTTTTCTGATTTGCAGCTGAGAGATAGACTCAAATGGGTGCTTGGACCTTGTTCTCTTTCAAGAAGGACCTTGGCTTACCGGCGCTGGATCTTTTTCTGCTTCGCTTGGAACACGTTTTGCTGGATTCATGTTTCCTCTTCTGCTATGGAAGGAACAATGAACATGAACATGAACATGAATGTTGAAGGAACAACTTACTAGTTTGAAGTTTTTTTGTTAAAGTCTCGTGGAAACTTTTAAATTTTAATATTCGATTGAAAAGCGTCACGTATTTGAATTTGTCATTGTCAGAAAGGCCTACATTATTACATTTATTCCTTATGCTTTAACCGTTGTAAACTTTAACCAAGTTTATTTCATTGTGATTCTTTTTGAAAACTTTGCATGTTTTACAGATGCAGAGAGGGCCCTTCATGTTTAATTTTGACTGTAAGATTGTCAAAATACTGTTTGTTGGCTAACAACAACAAATTTAGCTTTTGAAAACTATACCTGTTTACAGCATGTAATAAATTTTGGGACAATGTCAGTCTGTCAGGTCTTTGTGATTCTTATAACCTTAAAATTTTATAAATATCTCCCCATTCATGTCTCTTTAAACAAACCAAGATATGAAAAGATTTTTATTCTACGCTGTAGAACTACCGGAAGGATTTTAAACAATATTAAGCTTGAATTTTTATGAGTATAATTTTCACTATATTCACAGGGACTACAAAAATTGCTTTCAACAAAATAGTCTGTTGTACCGTGTAAACATAATTTTTGAGGCCTGTTTGCTTTTATACAAGCGAAAGTATGGGAGAAATAACCGGAAGAAATTTGTCACCCATTTATTTCGAAAAATTAGACGAAAAGTACTTTTGATGAATTTTCTGTTAATATTAGAACGAATATCATGCATTTCAAACACAGAGTCTCAAAAATTACGTTAAAGCAAGTGCACTTCTCAAATAATAGGGGGACCGGAAAGAAATGTCGCTTTCTTACATTAAATTCAAACAAATAAGTTTGTAACAAGTTTTTATTTTTTAATCAATACTATAATCACCCTCGTTATCAACAATCTTTTGCCATCTAATGTGCAGATTTTCAATCCCGGACCGATAAAAATCAATTTGTTTTTGAGTAAAATATATCTCGAGAGGACATTTTGGACATCGTCCAAATTTTCAAATTTTTTGCCACTAAGAAAATGTTGTAGGGATCCGAATAAATGGAAATCCAATGCTGCGATATGGTGGGTGAGTATAGCAGTACCTCCCAACCCAATTCATTAATTTTTTCCAGTGTTCGTCTTGCAATGTGCCGTCTTGCATTGTCGTGTTGCAGAATAACGCCTTTTCTGTTGACAATTGATATTTTTCGATTAAAGATTGGTTCACTCCATCCAATTGTTCACAATAGAGGTCTGCATTAACAGTTTGTCCAGGTTTCAGCAATTCAAAATGAACAATACCGCAAATACTCCATTAAACACCCAGAAGCGCCTTTTCGGGATGTAAACCCTTTGTAACCCCTATTTAAACTGCCTTTTGAGTTTTTGGATTATCATATAGGACTTATTTTTTTTTTGTCTCCACTAAACAAACGATCAAAAAACGGTTCTGTATGGTGCCGTTGAAGCAATACGTTGCATGTGATGGCTAGGTTGGCTTTGTTCTTTTCGGACAGATTATGGGGGACTCAAACACCTGTTTTGCTTATTTTTCCATTCTGCTTTAATGTTCTTGGATGGTCGACCAAGGTTGGTTAAGAGTGTTTGACATGGGTTTGCTTCCACTTCTGCCCTTAGCATATTGTTGTCGACATGCACAGAAACGACATTACTTTCCGGTCCCCTATTATACAGACTTCTGTTTAAAAGTATTTTACCCCGTTGTTAAATCACATAATGTATTCTACATTTCTTTTTTATTGTAAGATGCCTTAAGTTCTCTTTACGGAGTAATTGAAAATATTATTTTATTTTTATTAGTGATAAAGAATTGCGGAGAGCCCCAGAAACGTTGGTACTTTGATTTACAAAAACAAGAATGTTATTCCTTTTACTATCAAGGATGTATGGGCAATTCAAATAACTTCCCCTCTCTCTATGATTGCCGTATTTCTTGCATTATTGGAGCTTGTTGTTGGAGATCACCTCTTCATCTAAACAGAGTCCCTGGTTACAGTGAAGACGGCTATGACAGGTAACTATTTTTAAAGAATTCCTGTTGGTAGACATATTTATATCTGCAATCTAAATACGTGTTTTTATATTTCCCTTCTAATCACCCAGCAACATTAATTTTGTAAATAACGCAAGGCTATGTAATAATATCGTAGAAGTCAGAAGCTTTAAAGTCTGAGATTAGGCGCGGGACTCAGTGAGGACTGATAGGTTACTATTGAGCTTATAAAATTCTACAGTTTAATTATCTTGTTTAAGAAGTCTATGGCTGGGCTAGGCGAAATACCGAATCGATGATACGGTAAATAAGGAATAGGCAATAAATGTTATTGCAAATTAATAGGCAGACTAGCTAGCATAACTAAAAATATCTACTAAGCCAATCAGTAATGTGATGAAAAAAAAAAGGCTTATATTATCATCTGTGATGAAAAATAAAGGATTTTGTTAGCATTTTCGACAATGAGTGATCAAAAACTTCTTGCAACGGTTCATTCTAACTTTTCTGACTAGCAAGTAAGAGATTTTTTAATCGTAAGCCACAACGTTACTGTTTTTGCATGAGAAAAACTTAATAATATACATTCTTGACAAGCCGCTATCTCAGGGGAATGAAGTTAATTCTGTGTCTTAGGCCGAATTTTCATGGCTGCTGATTCTATAGCTCGTCATATCTTCTTCAGTTAATCTCTCTCGTTCGAGCTTGTCTGATTCTGTACCTCTGCTGTGTATTAAGTAAGACAGGTCAAACGCGTCAAAAGCATTTCATGGCACTTACTCAATGAAAGAAGGAATGGAAAATACATTACATGCAACTGAAGTCAGCATCTAGCTTTTGAAAATTTCGTCTTGAGAACTATACTGATGCAGTTTTGGACGAACTTATATTTGACAGAATATGACCATATGTATAGTGATTTTCTGTATATGATTAGTTGACTTGAAGTCACGTCTACGTTGTTAGCAAATCCAACGTTTTAAATCATATACAGGAATTGAAAGTCCGAAAAAATTTCAAAACTTAATTATAATCGAAGAAGTCGGCATATTAAAATCCGATTTACTCGAATAAAAATTGATAAACAACTGGAACAACTTTTAGTGGAACAGAATGTTAGTTAATTTTTTTTTACCGTTGCAAGTGTCACCGACTTGTAAAGTAGTCAGATTTTACCAATAGTTTACCTTATCTACAGTAATGAACACAACAATTGTAGCATTGAAAATGATAGAGGATGGATTTTGCCTCAACAGCAGCGGTTCTGAACCTGTGGTACGCGTACCGTAGGAAGTATATGATGACAAAGTCAGGGGTACGCGAAAAATTATCAGTAGTGGCAGAAAATTTAAATTCATGTATCTAAGATATTATATTAGGTAAATATTACTTTTTTTATTTATGCATACGAATATTAAGGTTTTGTACATCAATGGTCTTTGGGATAAAAGGGTTAATATAAATAATTTTATGCATAAAAAAGACGAACCTGTGGGCAGAGCTATCTTAACAGATTCATAGACCGTTAAGTCCCTCTAGTATTCTGAGCAAGTTATCTACACCATTTACCTTATCTCCATCCCTTATGTACTCTATCAAGAATAAAAGTGTAGTTTTCTATGCTAACGGAGAGCCCCCAAAGTGCTATAGTAGTCATGTAACGACACTGTCTCTGAAAACTTTAGTTTTGGATGCCACATTTCTCTTTGAACATCCAACAGAAAATGAAAAAAATCATCATTTCTCTTTAAATTAAAAAATAAAAATCGAAGTTATTATCGGTATATTAGTAACACCCATAGCGTCGAGTTGTATCGAGCTAATGAACCTGGGCAGTTAAAGTTCGAGGTTACGTCTGACCTATGTATCTAATTTCAACTCTCTAATAGGAAGAAGACGGTGCCCGATCCACCTTTGTTTTTTACTTCCATGGGAAAGAGACAAAGAGAGAGAGAGAGAAATGACACAAAATTACTGTAAACTATAACGAACGATCTCATTTTTCTATAAATGTTCTTGTGATAACGCGTCTTAGATCCGTGGCTTGAATCCTGACAAGCGTATAGTAAATTTTTACGTATCCTGTATCGGTAAATCTTTTTAGTCCCTATAACGGCAGTCGAACTAAAACGGGGTGGACGATAAATTGTCACTACTTGCACATATTTTTCTCCAGTGAGACTGAATATAAGAAACTATTTTATTCTCCCATACGTGTTAAATTATTTTATCAAGTATTTTATTCTCCGTGCGTCCCGTGCTAGAAGATCCACAGTTCAAATCCCGTTGAGGGTATAGTGGAATTTTTCACATTTTCCCAATCGATAATTTTAGTGTCTATAAATACATAAGATATTAATGTGAACATTTTACGGAAAAGGTATTAAGGAGTGTTACTGCTCGCCGAAATAGGGCGCTCCTGTTATTCATAAAACACTAAAAATAATTTATTTCTATTTTTAAATAAACTAAGTTTTTTATGATTTTGCTTCAGAGATGTGGCACACACGCGATTATTTTACTATAACTGTATTCTAAACATGTTGCGTTTGCAATTTGTGAAGTAAAATATTTATGATACTTATTGTGTAGAGTTTGATTTCCAGCCCCTTCCACAAAGAGGTGAACAAGGAGGCTAAATTTTGAGATATGTCCCAGGCGCTGAGGTCTTTCGGCACATATCTGCTGATGGTTGAGAAAAGTAGCTTAAATTCTTTAATCAAAGATATATAATGAATAATTTAAAATATTCTTCATTTGTAATCTACGAAAGAAATAAATTTCGAAACCATAAAGGGATAAATTATCCTTTCTAAAAAGTCTTCCCTTTCTTGGCACCAAATAATGTGTGCAACTATAAAGGCTTCAGAAGATATTTTCCAAGGGATTTTTCTCCTTCTTTACGGCATGCCTTCGTGATGCTATTTGTTGCATTTCTGGCTAGAATCGGGAGTTCCGGAGTTTCAATCTCGGGTATACTTTTATTCATTGTTTCCTGCTCCGATAATTACATAATCACTCTACACGTGGCGCCCTAACAGACACTTATGTAAGGCATTTTCGCTCCTCTTACCCTGTGTTTTAGTGGTGTAATTTAGGAATGGGGTTAATTTAATTCGGTCAGGAATGGGGAAGTCTGGAATTTGAATCTTGGTGGGGGGCATCGCTGATTATCTCACTTTTCCTGCTCCAAAAAATACCTAAAAGCTCTACAAATGGCCCTGAACTAAAGTATGGTAGACAATAATTCGTCATTATCTACATTTGGCGAGTCGCTCTTTAAGTGAGGAAGAATGTAAGAAATTCTTCTCCTTCCTTATCACGCGTCTTCGTGGGGAACTGGAAGCACGTTCGACTAGCAAACGAGAGATAAGTCTGGAGTTCGAATCCTGGCAAGGGAATAGAAGATTTATTCATGTTTTCCAGCTTCCAGAAAACTCTAAATGACTCTACGGTGGCTCTCGAATTAAAATATGCTGAAGGATAATTCGCCACCACCAGGATTTGGCGTTTGGATCGCTTTAAGTCATCCTTTAAGTAAGGAAGAATGTAAGGTGTTTTCTCTCTTATCGCATGTGTCTAGGTGTAACTGGAAGCACGTCCGGCTAACAATCGACAGGTCTGAAGCTTTCATTCCAGCAAAGGCATTGTGCATTTTTCATGTTTCCGGCTTTGGTCCTGCAGTTTCCGAAATGAAAATAGAGTATGTCAGGTGGAAAAAAAAATTTGAATTTGCTCCTACATTATTCTCATCCAACCTTCATCTCTTAAACTATGAACTACAGATAAGAAAGATTCTCATGTAATAAGGCTAATTCATTATGTAGTTTACTTCTTCTTGATAAGTATATAATTTATATAAAAATAATGGTGAAGAAAATGAAACGAAATAAGGAAAAAAAAATTACGAATTCTCCTTTTCTTGGTTTTAATCTCTAGTATGAAATAGAGATCAACGGTACATTCGGGAACTGTTGCTTAAATTAAAATCTTTAACTACTCAAGCTGGGTGTGATAGAAATTAAGTAGAAGCTGTGTCATACTTTATATCTTATTATCATGTTTCAATAAAAACATGTTTGTTGTTTATGTTATTCTCGTAACTGTCGAATGAATCAGCATTATCAGCTAAAATTCATACTTTTTTTACTTATTTTCTAGATATGGCTTTAATGCTGAAGGAATTTCAAAGAACAGTGAGCGGCGTTCTTCTGAAACGGGTTTTGGTGGTGAGAAAGCTATTTTTCGGTTTAATGGATTTGATTTTCAAGGTAATATGTATCACAATTTGCAGCGTTTATTTGACCTTCATGTATCTGATTATCGTAGTAAAAATTCTGTCTTTTAAGGATACAACAAAGAAGGCTATAATGCTGAGGGATTGGACAGACAAGGATATAATTCTAAAGGATATCACCACATTACTAAATTTAATCTAACAGGTAAAACGATTTTTCATTTGCTTTACTTATTTCATATTCATTACGTTTATGGTTGTAACTCTTGGAAGTGACCAGAGGAAACCAGGCGCAGGCACTTGACACTTCTTTATTCATTACATTTCAGGTTTGATGATATTTTGTATGGAATAAAACATTTTGAACTGTGTATCGAAAATTCTAAAGATAATAAACGTTTTTAAACATTTTGTGATTTTGCTGCTGAATTAAATTTCATGTGGCGTAAGTGAGAAGAAATTGAAATTAAATAAATAAATTTAAATAATTAAAAATATAATGATAAAAAGACAAAAAAATTTAGTTAGCCATCGTACTAAGAAAACTGAACATTGATATGATGAACTGAGAAAAAAACTGAAAAAAAATATAAAAGTGTATTCCAATACTTAAAACACTTTATCGAAAAGTCGAGAATTCTCCACATATCCTTCTGTGCGCTTTTAAAATTTTGTGATTTTGCTGTTGAATTGTATGTAGTTTAAGTGCTAAGAAAATGATGCTTATATAATAATAAAGCTTAAAAAAAAGTTGGGGTTTAATTAGCAGGAGTGAATGCAACAGCAGACTGGGTAGACTGTGAGCTCAGGGAAAGTGTAAAAAACCTTGAAAACCCCTTTTGGGCTAACATTAGTATCTGAAACCTTTCAAATTTTTTAAGAATTATTTATTGGTATTGTGCGACAACTTATAGTATGGTTCTGCATATGGCTTTCTGCTAAAATTACTTAGGCCCACTTATCAGAGGTATCAGTTGGGAAAATAGGTGATTGGAAAAGAACGATAACCTGAACATATCGGATGCTAGAACGAAAATTTCCGTTTTCCCCTTAACGCCTCAACGGTCGTATGATGTCCGATTTTCTTACTGTACATTAGTAGACATAAAAATGTAAGGAAGTCTGTTTGCACGGATCATACTTATTCGGCTTGTATCGTAGATCAGTTTATACGGTGTATACATGCTTGTCTACGCTCGTGGTCTTACAATGTATCGGCATAAATCATATACAAGTGAATTAGATATTTTACACATACCACATCATTGCTTCCACATTATTTTCATTGTCTAATTCACCAAACATGAAAATCATATCTTTATCTCTTAATGAATGATATAAAGGTGGAATGTTTATGTTTTTAGTTTCAGACTTAGGCCTCCATTTATGTAACATTCTTCAGTAATATTCTGAGACTTAAAAATACCACTTTTAAATGCTTTTGCGCTTCTCACAACCGTGTACTGGCTGTTTTGAACACTGAGCCAATGTTCATTTTTACAGTCGTGTAAGTAACGAAAAAATCTGTTGAAAGGAAACTATACTACACATTGCCGCATTATTCTATGCAGTTTCTAAACATGAACATAGATGCCATTTGTTAAAGTGTGCATACACTTTTTGGAGGGTTCTGTATATCCGCAGTGACGCTCTTATGTTTTTTGTTCATCTTTCCATTAATATAATTCTTTTACCTAATGTATATCTCAAGTTTTCCAGTTTTTCTTCAACCTGCGTCTTTTTTATTAGAGTATTGGTATTTGAATTTAGCAAAGCAAATCTTTAAATTATATATAATTCTAGGGAGAATTTTAGTTACTTCAACATGGCACTTTTTAAAATTTTAAATATTTTATGTATATTATATTTTAAGTAATATTTACAATAAAAGAATTCAGAAGTAAAATGTGTAAGTTTGTGAATTTGAAATTCTTTCGAAAAAGTAAAATGTTTCAAAGAATAATTTAATTTTTTTTCCAATGACTGTTTTCTTTTCCAGGTTTTGACGCTTTCGGAGATCATGATGGAATTATCGATTTCGATAGAGATGGTTATGATTCTGATGGCTATAACAGAGCTGGCTTTAACTGCTACGGATATTCAAAAGCTGGTTGGGATTCTAATGCCCTTAGTGCTGGATGGTCATTTAATTGCCGTGCAATGAATTTGAGGGAATGTCAAAAAATAGAAAAGCAGTTTTCTTATTTACAAAACGAAGTAATAGCATTCACTCCAGGTAAAAAGTGTGAGGAAGTCGAATGTGAAGCGAAATGTGGTTGCAGTTTCATAAACAATAACTATTCCCTGAGATCAAAATTTTCCCTTGGCTGTGGAACCTGTGAGTGCACCTTATCTGGTCATATCAGTTGCCCGTGTACTTCAATAAGTATGAGAAAAGAAATTAGGGATATGACACCTGAAGAAATGCAGCGTTATCAAAAGGCGATAAAAACTCTTGCATTACAAAAATCGCCTTTAACATGGCAGAACTTAACCCATTTATATCATCAACATGTACCTCATTCACGTGGAGGACCTATGTTCTTGCCTTGGCATCGATATTTTCTCCGTTTAGTTGAAATGAAGCTACAAGAAATTGACTGTTCTGTAACTATACCATATTTTGATTGGACAATGGATGTTGGCTCCCTAGAAACATCTGTAGTATGGCAGGCGAATTATTTTGGTGGAAACGGAGATAAAACTAGAGGCAACTGTGTGAGAAATCATCCATTTAAAAATCATTATAGTCTCTACTGGGATGATTGTCTAAGGAGAGAGTTCAATACTTCAGTTCACTTACCTAATGCTGTGGAATTAGAAAATATCACCAGGATTCAGTCTTTTGATGAATTTAGTGCTGCACTGGATACTTTAAGTGGCTTATTTCATTTATTTGTCGGAGGACATATGGCGACACTAGATGCAGCTTATGATCCAATTTTCCTTTCTCACTACGCTTTTATTGATAAACTTTGGTATGACTGGATATCGGAGAATCCAGATAATGTACAAAAGTTTCCGCTAAAATATAGGTATCGCCCATTAATTCCTTTCGCTGTTCTTCCTGATGATACTTTTATGAGTGACACTCAGTTATGTGTTACGTATCACTTCATCACTGAAGGAGCACCTTGTGTTTACGGAACTTCCCTTAAGACAGGACATCATTTAGCATACGAGATCAAATCAAAATTAACAGATATTGACGGATATGATAGTAAAGGTTATGATTCTTCTGGCTATGACCGCATGGGTTGGACTAGAAATGGATTTCATAGGGATTCATTCAATCGAGATGGGTTCGATGTTCATGGATTTGACCGTAAAGGTTTCAATCGGTATGGGTTCGACAGAAATGGTTGCAATAGTAAAGGAGTTTGTTTTAACGAATATCCGTATGATTCTTATGCTCCATTTAAGAGTAATGTTTATGAAAACTATAATGAGCTAGGATTTCGTTTCACTGGTTTTGATTTTCATGGATATGACTCTTATGGTTTCGATATCTATGGGTTTGATAAAAATAATTGTAGTTACTTTTTCAAGGGTCCCTTTTATCCAATATTTATGAAACATGCGAAGAAGAAACTGAAGATGTTGCCCAAGACGGAACTAAACAATGTTAAACGAATCTGTTCTCCTGTAACTACTATACCTAAGTGGTGGCAAACTATAAACTGGTTAAATAGAAAAAAAGAACTATATTACAAAGAAATCTTATTTCCTTATCATTCTGAGGAAAATATTCCATCTTTTTTTGATTTTAAAGGAGCTTGGCTAGCTCCTGTGCCGGATGAAAGGTAAGACTTTTTTTTTTTTTTTTTTTTTTTTTTCATTTTTTCCGTATGTTTTCTGTTAGAGGGAAGTATTTGAACTCATGTTGAACTTAAATGCTATTTTTAAAAATGCTGTTAAATGAATATTTTTTTTAAATAAATGCTCATAAAGCGAAGTGCAGTTGTTCCTTGAAGTACGGGGGAATTAGAGATGGCAGTATTCTGCGAAGTTCTTAAATATGCGTTTAAATTTTGACTCATCAAAAATTGATATTTACTACCTGTTTTTCAGAAGCCCTGCGTTAATATATTCAGTAGATTAATAACTATTATAAGGTTTAGCATTACTTTCTGCATTCTTACTTCAAAGACAGAGAAAAAAAAATTGAAGGAGAAAATGTAATTAAGAGAAAATACATCTAATGTGCTACATTTATTCATTCTTGTGATAAATTTAGATTATTCCACTATTTATAAAAATTGTCTCTTAGCATCTACATTAATATTTTTATTTATGCTTACAAAGCACTGCAGATGTTGAGTACATTACTAATGCCACGCAGCAAAAAATGGAAATATTTACGAATAAAATGTTTGAAACTGTACACGTCAGATAATTAAAGTTTTTCGTCAAATGCAATCCATTTTCTTTCCTTCTTAAAAGCAGTACCAATATAATTATGGTTATAAATATAATTATTATCAATTTCATATGCAAATTATTCTGTTGCTTAAAGTTTGATGTGTTACTTACGGTTTGCAGTGATGAAACAAGAAGAAATCTAACAGGGAGCTGTGCAACTGCACAGTTTACTAAATGCCTAATTTACTGAACAGTTTACTAAATGTATAATTGGCTCAGTTTACATGTGGTTTAGTTTACCGAATTGACGAATTGCTTAAGCGGAAATGACCAGCAAGGTCGCGTAATAAGCCAAATGGCGAGAATAACTCAACGGCGCAAAATGCCATTCGTAAGAGAATCAAATTAGAGGCGTGGCCTTCAAGCAGGCAGAATACGCGCTAATTCTACCCTCTAAAACCTTCCTTTTAATAGCCTCTTCTTTCTACCTCATTTGAATATCATGGGAGCTAGAAATTTACAATTAGGGAGGAACATGGAAATGAGAGCGATTATAAAGTAAATTAACGTAAAATAACTGGTTAGAAAATTAAACGTGAACTCTACACGTTTATGCACAGCAAGATGCACTTCGATAACCGCGCTTCTCTCATGCTGGAACTTTTTTAAAGTAAAACGGACTTTAACGTCTTCCCCAGATACAATAGTTTCAGGATTCTGATCTTCAACGTTTTTTAGAAGTTCATCACTATTAAAGCTATTTGGCATATTTTTGAGTAAGATATTTAAATAAGTAGGATATTTTTGCTTTGAAATAGAGGGATTCAAAATTGCTGGGTGTTCCTGCAAAGCAGAAAAAAAATTCTCTTTATCAAATTTCGATGTATATTTCACCAATACTTTATTGTTAATTATGTTTCTAAGATTGCTGATTCCAATTTTATTTTTCTGAAAATCGATTTCAGTTATGAGAAGCTATATAGTGTCTTCAGTTGCATATTCTTCCGCGCTTACAATAACACAGCAATTATAATCAGTCTGATTCGGTGCAACAGATGGCGCCACAAAATTAAGATTTCCCTCTGTATGACAAAATTCAATAAGGTTTCTTCACAGGCTTCAGAAATTTGGAAGACTTGCCGTCTCTAGGCCATTGGCTGCCGGCGTACTTTCCTAAGCTTGCTGCCCCCAAATTAGAAGAAAAAAAAAAAAAAGCTCAGTGATTAATAAAATTTTTGTTTCATACTCACTAAGTACTTACATATGACAAATTGTATAAATGTAAATAAAAAAAAAAGTATTGCAATTAATTCAATAAAATAACACATTCACCAACCTGTTTTATTTAAAAGTAACAAATTGAAAAAGATAGGGACATTTAAAATTTTGTCACAGTTTCTTATGTGCTTTTCTTTTCAGTTTTTAGAAATTATACATGAAACTTCTCGAAAACGACCACACTCTGCAGTTTCTAGCAAGGTTACATTCCCATACATGTGATCGCCTTAGAGAAAATGGCTGCCACTGATGTTCTTAATTTGTTCGTTTTCCAAGGAAGTACTGGCAGCAGCGGCCGCTGTGAAAGATTTTTCTAACTTTTTTTTTTTTTTTTTTTTTTTTTGACATTATCACCGAAGATCTTTTATTGACAACTGCCGATGGTTATTAAGCAATAAACGACCTTCCTCATCTTTAAGTTTGACAGCATTATACATAGTTATAATTCCCTGTCATAAATCATAATGCTGCCTCGCGGGTGTAAAATTTTAGACAGTTTGCTCTTTTCAGTACTGCGATCCACTGTTTCAATTTAGTTTGAGTGTGGGCTGTATATGTCTTTATCGATGTTTATTTTCGCGAAATCGTTATTACTCGAGCCTTAACGTTAATCGAGCGATGTGAACGACGGAATGCCACAGGGTCGTTTTGAGTAGAAAGCTGAAAAAGGGACAAATTAATTTAACGGTAAAAACATTATCCGGCACTTGATGGTTTGCAAAAGCAGATGCTGTATCAGCATTAAAAATTGGTTACAATATGTAAGAGAAGCCTTATCTGACATCTGTGCTTCGAGTTTAGAAACGAAAGTAACTTAGTGGAGGCTACATCTTTGTTAAAAAAATTCTCCTGATATAAACTGAGAGTCGTGACAATAATCTGGAACATTTTGTAGCGACTGAATGCCATCAGAAAATGCCTACAAAATTATGCGCCTTATTTAAAGGAACCGATTTATTTATTAAAATCTTTGTCAAATTTTATTGGATGATTCGACCATGACTTTTTTAACATATAAAAAGAAGCAAATGCTAAGACATCTTTGACATTTGAAGAGTGGATAAGCAGGCCTCAGGAAAAGGAAAATTTTTTTAAAATAAAAATAATGAAAAATCAGAATCACTTTCACTGCCCCCAAACTTTTGTTTTTTTTTTAATATTATTTATGACAATATAATAGCAGAATTTTCTCATAGAAGTGAAATATAAATAAATAATGTAGAATAATTTAAAGTACTCTTTAATTTAAATTTGTCTAGGTAAAGAAACATGTCTTTAAAGAAAAGTTAAAAGAGATTTATAAAGATGATATAAATACATATTATACAGTTTGATGATGAAATGAAACAGCTTTTTTTTTTTTTTTTTTTTTTTTTTTTTTTTTTTTTTTAAAGAAGATGAAGACAAATTTAATTTTGCGTTTGCTGCCAGAGGAATGTCATCAAATTTTCCTAATGTAGAAATTTACGAAAATTGTTTGATGACTCCAGTTTCTAGTGCATCCACAGAAGGATCTTTCCCTGCCTTAAAAAAATAAAAAACTATTTCATAAGAAGGATTAAATTGTAACACTTTATTAAATAGATAGAAGTGTTAAATAACGTGAATATTTCGAAAATAATTGATGAATTTTCTAGAAAGAAGCCAAGGAGAAAATTTATTAAACCTTAATAATTAATTATATTAATTTTAAAATATTCAATAAAGTATTTAGCAATTTGTTTCTTACTTGTCTTTCCTCCAGAATATTTTATTTTTTATATAATTTAATTTTTATGTATTTTAGGCTTGATATGCGGAGGAAATAATATGGGAATATTGAAATATAAAATATTAAATCATAATTTTATTAATAATATATAAAATTTTAATTAATTATATATACTTAATTATTTATTACACTTGAGCACTAATTATGTTTCAAACATATAGGCATGTAAGTACTTCCTTAGGGACCCAACATATTTTACCGTCAGGGGCTCCCCAACTGGATGCAAAAGGGTTCCTCGCATTCAAACCCAATATAACTGCTACCCAAAAAGCATCCAAAGTAATAAACCTAAACAGGAGCAGATTTAAAAATATAGCTGCTCTACTACCAAATAGTAGTATTTTTAACAAAGAAAAATACTCACTAAGTACTCAGACTAAAAACACAAAGTCTTACGCACTAGAGTTTTAAGTAGCACGAACAGTAATACCTCAGATTTTATGGAGTCCAATTTTGGCCGTAATCAACACCCAAAGTTAATGCAATTAATAAACAGTGACTTACAAAAACTAAGAGAAGCTGGAATTCGATGGACAAATTACATGTCTTTTCCTTATTTGCCAAGACTCTAATAGTTTTTAAAACTCCAAAAATTCACTGTTGTTGTTGCTAATGTTATCAGCGCTAGAAAATGTTTTCGGAAATTGACAGGGATAGGCAGTCCAATCCAGGGGTCCTTTGCTCCGAAATGAATTATTTTAAGGACGACTTTTTGAAGTTAATTTTTCTAGAGTTGCGTTAAACTTGACTTCCCTATAATCGACCATGTTGGAAAGCATCTGATAGGTGATATTTATCTGATGTTTATTTGTTCTCCTAGAATTTCAGAACCACAGTATGTTCAACCGTCAGATTTTTGGTTTGTCTGTGTTTTTCTTTTATTTCACTTACTGCCAGTGGAGCAACGTAAAGTTTGCAAGGATTTGTTGGAGAATTTAAACTTTTTATGACAGATTTATGCTTATTTTATGGTAAAAAGTGATAAAATAGTATTTACTTTGTGGTAATAATAAAAGTTGTGTCTGTTTACAATTATTTGCCTAATCTTTTCAGTTTTAACATTAGTAAATTACGTAGTGTGTCTAGTAGTTTATCCAAAACTGCACTAAATCTGCAAAATATTTTCTAATATTTTATTGAAAAAATTCAGTTATGAACGAAACCGTGCTGTTCAAAATACTTAGTTCGAGAGGTCAACTATACTTTGCGATGATTTAGAACCGTTGATCCGCAGCTTAAATGCGTTTGATTTTTTTTTTCCAAACTTCAAGGCTGTAGATTCAAAATGAGTACAATTTAATCAATTCAAAGTTATCGGTTAACTTCTCAACCTCCTTCATATTTTGTTCACATATTTTTTCCTTGCATTTACTTCGAAATAAATTTAAAATAAAATTTTTAATTATATTCAGCATATGCTAAAAACAGAGTTTTCATTTCATTTGTACTTTGTATATTTTTAAGCAGGTTTTTCGAGTAGTATTTAGTATTACGTAAGTGTAATAAAAATTGTCATAATTTATAAAATATTTAGTTATCTGTTGCATTCGATCAGGCAGACTTTTGTTACTTCGTACGCGGTCTCTTATGTATTAAGTTTTGATCTTACTGTAATTAACTGTACTACATCAAAATATAGTATTTTTAATTTTTAATGAGAGAATAATTTATCTTGAAGTATTATAGAAGTGTATATTTACCTTTTGTATATTTACATATTTATCTTGAAGCAGAGTAATTTATCTTGAAGTACCTTAACGTGATGAAGTAGTATTGATGGGTATGAATCAAATCAAGCTTCTTTTGACAACGCAAGTATACCTCAAAAAAGAGTTATAACCTACCATCTTTCTTTTTCTAGGTTTTGCTTTCATCTACATCATCATTCTAAATGTGACTTAAATCAGGCTCCTGTTCCTTGTCCTTTCAAAACATGTTCCTCTGCTCTATGTCCTTCCCTACCGAGCTCTCGGTGTCGCAGTTTCGGATGCGGATCATGTGATAACAATTACTTTAATATTGTGACACAGAAACCAACTTCATGCAACAATAATGGTAAATATTATTTTTATCTGCAATTTTTGCTTTGAAAAATATTTTGTGCATTTTTTATACTAGTACTTAGGAGTTTATTACTAGTGGAAGAGAAATTGCTATTAGTGACATTCTTAATAAAACTCAAACAACTACAGCAGCAGAAATTAATTTTTTAAATACAAAGAGACATTTTTATAAGAAGCATAGTTCTAATGGCGGATAGGTTATTAAAAAAAAACCAAAATAATTTTTATGGATACTTACATACACTGGTGTGCAAAGCTGAAAGACGAGACGGGTTTTCGAATGATTGTCGTACAGGGGTGCTCCACATCGACCTAAATCATACCATACGATCCCCAAGATGTGAAAATATGGGACAATATACCAAAACCATCTAAACAAGGAATAAAAGAGATGAAAAGGTACTTTAATGTAAAGACAGCTCAAAGCACAGCTGGAGAGAAGATCGAATCCCCCATGTGACAGAAGCCTGGCAAAAAAACATCGAGTCTTTAGAAGGGGTAGGATCACCCTTCACTTCGATGCAGAAATTACGTTTGTCGATGATGAGAATAAGGTTTTCAAGGAGATGTTGAAGTATTGCGGCTTATTCTTCTTGTAGCGTCAATTTCAGCCTTGGAATAATTGTTCACAGCTCGTCCCGTGCTGCCAAGTGTCTCCCTAAAAGGTCCCACATCTGTTCTTTGGGATTTAGGGCCGGGGACTTTGCAAGTCAATGCATTCATTGAATATCTCTCACTTTCCAAGGGTTCTGCTACATTTACTGTGCAATGAAGTGTAGCGTTGTCTTAAAGGATGTCCGGACCCATAGCACTTCTAAAGAAACGTACGTGAGGCAAGAGAACTTCGGTATAATTGCAAACACATTGAGTGAACCTCCTTGGGAGATGTGGAGGTTAGTACAGCTACCAAGCATGATACCACCCCAAAAGTGAACTCCGGCACCTCCAGAACGGACCCTTTCATTAATGTTCGAAAGGGGATTGCATGTTCTCTTCTCTCTCCAAATTGGCTCTCATCCGTAAAGAGCACTTGCTGTCATTCGTAAAGAGGACTGGGCTGTCATCCGTAAATTTCACTTGACCCATTTGCTGTTGTGTCCAAGATTTGTGTTCCCAGCAGCACAGAAACTGGCGTCTCCGATGAGCAGGTGCGAATGGCACACGCCGTACTGATCTTCGTTCATATAGACCACGTTTGTTTAGCCTATGGGCGTGGTAAAACGTGATACAGCTGTTTCTGCCGTTTGAAGTGCTCTTCAAGCTTGTGAAACGATTCTATGAGTGATCTCGAATTCCTTCGGTACATTTAACACACTTGGAAAACGATGCGGCCTCACTTAAAATCATTCAGATAACATCTCTTGGATTGCCTGTTGGCCATATCAAATCGTAGTAACAAATCGATGTAGTTGAAATCACTGTGCACTCTGCAGTAGCTTTCTCAAAATTGCTGAGTTTACACCGTCCGTGTGTGGCGCACATTCTAACATTCCCAAGTCATGTGCCATTTATGCACCTGTCCAACTATAAGTGTCCAAAATCTATCTCCTGATTAGTATTTCGGTCCATTCTCTTGTCTTGTTCCTTTTTTATGCTAATTTCTCTGACTCGGCCTTAATTTTTACATACTAGTGTACGTGCAGATTCAATATATCACGCATTCAGCACAACTTGCCACTAGATAAGTACTAAACTAAAAAAGAAAGCAAAGAAACAAAGATACTTCGCTGCTGCACTGATAATGATTTAACCAATAATGTAATTTTGAATTCGATACGTAACACACTTTCAATGTAAAGTAAGAAACGCACTTTTCAGACTAATTCCTACTAACATGATTACGTTTTGGTACAGAAACGAGTTTAGAGGCGATATTTTCTAGATGGCCGAAGACAACACGATTTGACACAATTTCAACTTTCTGCCGCTTGTCGCGTTAGTTTCAGATATTTAGTTTTTACCACAGTTTCCAAAAGAATATGCTCTTCTTGAGGAATGTGTGAAATCAAATGGAATTGTCTTGATAAAAAATTTCAGATGATTAAAAAGTATGAGTTAATAAAATAATTAAATTAATTATTTAAAAAATATTTTCAAGTTTATTAAGAATAATAAACCATAATTATTAACCATAAACGAAATATCTTTGGTAATTTTCGCACAATAATCTAAAGTAGTAGAGTGTTGCGAGAAACTAATGATAGATTTCAAAATCCTAGATTTTGAATTTTACTTAAAATCTGCACCGATTTAACGTAGCTTTTATGGGCTGCGGTTGCTTAATGGATAAGACATTTTCCTCCGAAGCCAAAGGTAGTAGACTGAAGTCCAAACAGGGGCGGTGTTTTAATGGAGATAAGCAGTTTTAAAAGATCATTTGCACAAAAGTTCAGAGCAATAGATACATATTAGTTTACTGATCATGAAGATCAGAAATCAATTTCTTGTTGAATGCTTACTAGCACTGAGGTAATGCGCTGAAAAGAGAATTCAGAAAATCACGACTGGACGTTATAAAATATAGGAAACTGGAATTTTGTTTCCCAGTCAAAGGAATCTCCATCTGAAAATAAAAGTTACATCATAAGATGGACTTGGTGTTTAAATGCTTATATAGTCCTTGGCAGCTACATGATTTTGCAGGGTAGCAAAGAGAAAAGCAAAAAAACTGTGATATAGTTATCCAAACCATGACAGAATCTCCGCAAACAATCCAGATCAACAGCTTGAGTTAATGCGCTTCAGACGCAAAAGATGCCAGAATTTGACGTCAATTCATCAGATCAAATGGCAGTTTTCTACAGAACAGCAAATGAATTTTTATGAATGATGCATCATTCCCTACTTTCTTTATTTATCAGTGGTTTGGTAATTGCAACTCGATTATAAATTTCTTTTTTATGGAGCACTCTTTTCGTTGTTTTTGTACTAGTAAGGTTTAAGAGCAAATTATTCAGCTCAAAAAGTACTTTTGCAGCTATTGTCTTCTTATTTGTGAAAATTCCTATTCTTGAATATATATTCCTATTCTAGAATATTTATTTCTATTCTTGATAATCTTTTGCAATAACCTTCTCTCTTTTTCATTCAGCAAATACCATCTTCCAAGTTTGTGTTTATTGCATGAATAGCAAATGAAGTCATAACGCCTGATTACATAATTAAAGATACGTTAAGTAAATTTGCCACTTGGTCACTTGACACATGACTTCCAAAATCTGCCCTCTCTAGAATCTGTAAGCTCACTCATAATTGACATGCACTTGCATGAAATCATGTTTTGAAAGTAGCTCTGGTTTCCTGATCGTTTGACAAGCTTTTTACAAGAAATATTAACAGTCGCTGCCTCAGCTACATTTTCAACAAGGCATTTCTATTTTAAGCATTACCTTTTACCAAATGTTTACGTACTTTTATCCAATAGTTATTCGTACTCTAGTCAATATATATTCGAGGTAATAAGGTTAGATGCTTCGAATTGGAAATTAGGCCTATCGCGAAGGTAAATATTATGCATATTTTAAGTTTGTTATAAAATTATGTTATTACTTACTAACTTAAAAGAAAAGAAATTTGAAGGAAAACAAGAATCTTTCGCTTCTTTACAATTTCTTTCGTATGTAATAATTACAGTCGTTACTATTTATCACTGTAAAATTCCGCTTCATCGATATCTAATTTTTTTGACTTATTAGAAAGTGGTCTGTTCTGGTTTCTTCGAGCCTCCGAGGTCAGCTTTTATTATAATGATTTCCATGAATTTTGTTTTCTGTGGATGATATCGAAATATCAGTTATTAATAATATGCTGAGATAATAAATAGTAAATTACTATTGTCTACGATTACATTCATTTAATTCCCAAAGATTTGTCTTCTCAAAGAATAATATGTTAATGATAACTAATCATTCTGAAAAATCGGAATGCTACAAATGCACTCGAAGTGAAAATTTACTGACATGTTGATTTTACAGGTATGAGTATTATGCATATTGAGTAAAACAGTAGACTAGTTTCTACTGAGTTCCTATTAAAATGTATATTTGCAATGTTTATTTTCAGTAAACACTTGTTTTCGACGGTATTATTAAAATACTAGTAACTTATGCTTGTTAATTTTATCGAACAACATTAAAGAAAATACAGCTTTGTAAATTATAAATGCAGGATAATACCAGTTTCATAACGAAACATTTATTAATATTTAGCATGAAAGTACATGAATTTTATTTTATTTGGTCATATTTAATTTGGCACAGATTTTTTAAACTGTAATTTTTAACAACTCGTTTCTAGTGTGCTTGGTGGCAGACAGCAGTAACAAATTAGATGGAGAAATTTGGGAAGACGATTCTTGCAACACTTGTTCTTGCCAGGTTGTATACATTTAATTCCATATTCAATAAAAACTGTAATAAAATTCATGCTTATGTTGCTTTATTCTCTAAGAAAGGAATTTGTTAATTTGAAAAACTATTACTCCTAGAATGGTTATTTCAGTTATTAAAAACTCCATGCATTTATAAGAATACAATACAATTTAATGAGTAAGTTAGAACCACTAAAGCGATAAAGATTTCATAATAAAATTGTAGCCCATGTATGTTCTCCGTCATATGTCCCATGTATGTCCCATTGTAACACGTGTAAGTTATATCACCTATGAAAACGGGAAGATTTTTGCCCTTAAATATTTTGAAAATATCTTATTAAAGAAAATATCTTATTCTAGGAGTAATAGCATAGAAAACCTATATTAAGGCACGAGTTTCGGATTGAAACTTACTTCAGGCAGTTACTGATATATTTGTTTCATGAGAGCCTATCTACAACATACGCTTGTTCTATAAATCAATGTTAATAAACTCTATGAAAGAATGCAAAAATAAATGAAATCTCATTTTTTTAACAGACTTTAGTGAAAGACAAACTATGGTAACTCTTACTTTCACAATAAACAATTAAATGATTTTTAGCAGTTAAAAATAATCTCAGCTTGCGTATTTTTCTTACGAAATAAAAGAATGAAGCATAATAACTGTTTCACTTTAAAAGAATTTAGATCCAACAGCGACCTCGATCTGCGTTCGATTCCCAGGCGAATGGACTCTCTGCGTGGGCGTTTCCGTGGTTTTGCGCCAGTGTTCCTTAGAAAGTCTTGCACGAAGGCATCCCTTCCTTTAGGCAGATAGGCTTAGCGTGCTTTGCCATAATCAAATAAACCGAAGCAAATATTTACTATGTTTTACATAATGTGTGGTTTTAAAGTTTTAAAATAAAATGCGTTAAAAAACTCACATTTGACGAAAGCAGCTTTGTGATTGTTTAAACTTCCACATAAGTTCCTCCATACGTTATATTATTCTTCGTATATCTGTTTTTATAGAAATCAACAACTGGAATGTTCTGAATGTTCTTGTCATGTTAAATGTTTCAAAATTTCTGTAATACAGTCAAAAATATATCCTTTTACAAATGGTGGTAGTTCGGCCCGAGGTTCGAATCCCGCGAACGGGCTGGCTGCATGGGTGTTTTCGTGGTTTTCCTCATGTGTAAAGTGTATACGAGACAGTTTCCCTTAGAAAACCCTCCACGAAGGCATCCCTCCCATTAGGCAGATAGCCCTAGTGTGCTTTGCCATAATTAAATACACACCACACATTTTACAAATGAGCTCAATGAATAATAAATGTCAGTCGACAAGATTTAAGATCTGGAAAATGAAAGTACAATTAATAAAAATAACTTTTTCTTAATTAAAAACCTAATAATAATTACATTGCACTATAGGATAAGAGGACCATTATATGACTGATCCTTTGTTGGTCTAACAAGATGAATTCTTCCTTGCGAATTACTTCTGGTTAACAAAAACGGACGAAAGGTTGACTTATCTGTGGCGGATGGTTGTTATTTGCTTTTATTTGAAAGTCAGCTTTCTTTAAGACTAATGATTTATTTATAATTTCGGGAATACTCTATGACATTTCAACCAAGTTGATACCTGATTATTGCAAAACATGCGAAGCCTAGGGGTATGCATGTTTATATAAAACCCTGGAAAATCCATGAAGTGAACCTGTTATTCTGAAAAGAATACAGCAGGAATTAATAATGTTCAGCAGTCTTATCCTTTTGGTCAATGGTGATTAACTATTTTAACGCAATACTTATTGTTTTTCGTTTTTGAACGTGATGTGATAGGCGCATGATTTCAGACAAAAAATTAATTTAAACTCTTTTCTGTAATGAGACAAGATTTTGAAGAAAGAAAAACTGAAATATGTTAATAATCACTGCTAAAAGTTATTATTTGTCAAGCTCAGTTATTATTTGTCAAGCCAAAACATTATTGATAGTAATAATTGAAAACTTTAATTCTGCAATTTATAGAAGTGTACCTCATATTTCTAAATATACATTAATGTGATCAGAAAATGTTTCAGTGAATTTAATAATTAGACCTTTTTAAACCATGATACACTTTTCAGAAGAGAAAGATGTTTACAAGGACATATTTTTAAATAATTATAGCAGAGAAGAAATTATGATTATTTCAATATTTAAACAAAAATATTTTCATCTGCGTTGCTATTTGAAATTTGCTTTAATAATTATTTTACTTGCATTTATTTTAAATGGAACTGACGTTTTAACTCTGAATATAAATAATAATATTAATAACAATCCCTTCTTTAAAGGCAGGGTTGGTTTCATGTTCTTCAACGCTTTGTGAGCCTGATTGTGACCATCCAATTGCAAGAGAAGGATCCTGTTGCCCAGTATGTGATGGTAATAAATTTTCTGTAAATTGGATTTCTAAATTATTTTATGTTTCAGACAAATAATACAGAAGAAGTTCTCAAACTGTGCGTCGCGATGCTTTGATGCTTCAAAGTGTGAGATTTATTTTAATTAATGTGTTATTTCTAAATCTGAATCTTTCCTGAACTTCTACTCTTTTGTTTACACTGCCAGAAAATATAAATAAATAGTGACTTTCAAATATCATGCGAGACTCTAAGCTTAACAGAGAAAGTTGGCAACATCAACCTGCTGTGGTGAAAGTATTCTTTGCTGCCTGTCTTTAACGCTGTGCTTCTCATCGGTGAGTTTGTCTTTAGTGTCTTTGAAGGTTGAAATCTCCTCTCAAATCAAGAAGTAGCGGAGCCAGGTTTTTAGGCTCTGAATTAAATTTTGTCTTGTAAATAAGTCTGAATCATCTTTCTTTGTCCAGCTCGCAAGAAGCGGAAGTACTTTAATTAATGTTTCAGTTTCTGTAACTTCAAGCTGAAGTGACAATTTATCGTTTACTTGTTTTACATTATGATAATTACTTAGTGTTCCGGGATTGAATGGTAAAGACTAGACAAAAATTCATGAGATAGTCCAAGAAGGTTGGGCTATTGTTCAGATTCAGTCAAATAGAGTCAAACTTTGCAAATGTTATCTTGTGAAGACGTGCAATATTACACTACTTTGAGTATGTTGCATTTTTATGTAAAACAAGTATAACAGACACCTAAATCAAAGTAGAAATGCGATTCTTAAAGCGTTTTTCCGGGGGTCAGAACTTTCAGATTTCTCATGGTGTATATGTCAGGCGAAATCTGGTTTAAAGCATGGAGGAAGGAAAATCTGTTCCTTCCTCCGTAGTTAAAAGCGGCTGGCAACGGTTTATCACTGAATAAAAGAGAAAGCACGTAAGAAGTAATGTTGTGCCATCGATTTCTCTAAAGTGGCACAGCATGCAGTAATCCAATATTTTGCTGAAGGTGTTTATGAAATCGAAATTAACAGTGGAGTGAAGAATGTGTATGGGAATGCGGATATTTCAAGCAGTACAGTGATTTTAATCATGAGGGTGCGAGGAGCTTAACATTCGACGACCAAGCCAACCGCACTTAGCCGTCACTGAAAAATCAGTTGCTCCAGCGGACCCCTCTTTGTGAGAGAAGAATCGTCAAGTAACTACCCGGGAGATTACAAATATATCACTTATGTATTACACTTTACACGCGTATTCAAATATATAAGCCATTTCAGAAATTTATCACGGTCCCACTTTCATTCGGATGTGCTGTAATACTATGCAGCCATACGTTGCTACTTTATTATTATATTATAATGATCGTTGGCAATTAGTACGAAATAATAAAATAATTTAGTATGTTTTATAGATGCTTCAAATGTATATCTTACAGATGTTTTAAAGAATGTTTGCATATTTTAAGGGGACTCATACACCTTAAAACCCATAAGATGTTCGAATAGGTGACTGTTGCAAGAATTGGGATAACTTATTTATTTTAAAAGCAATTACTACCAACTTTTTACAGCTGTGTACATAATATAGCTGCTTTCTGAAATAGGCATCAGAAAGTTTGTGTTGCCACAAATTTTTTATAATTTAATCCGCTTTGTGACAACATTTTTCGTCATGTTTCCAACTGCGCGCACGGTTTAAAACATTCTGTTTCATAATTTAATTCCATATTTAATATATAGCTTTTAACATTGGGAAACTACTGGAAACCTAAAATTCTAAAAATTTCATGTTAAATTTTTATTTTATTTTGAGTTGCGTTTATAAAATGTATTTTATTAAAAAAATTTGTATGTTTTCGTCCATAAAATTTTTCAATATTAAAATATTCATCAGATTGTTGGTTCAGTTAGAAAATAGTGCCCATATAAAGAATTCCATCAAATTTCAAGTACACTCATGTCCATAAATTAAGGATAATGCAAAATGAGGCAAAGGAAGAGTTAGAAGCAAAACAAATTTGACTTATTAGTAAAGCTTATTTATCAAACAAAAGGTAAACAGCAAAAAAAGATGCTATATATTTGATATTATTAAAAAAAATAGTGATTTTTTCTCCCTGGAGCAAATTGCAAAAAAAAAAATCTATTTACAAAAACCAATATTACATGGTTGGTATGATTGTTAATACATTGTATGTCTCCCAGACGATGCAATACAGTCCGTACAACGCCCAGGCATGCTGAGTATAAAATTATCGATCTGATTTTGGGGGATATTACACCACTCAAAAAGCAATGCTCTCCGAAGTTCCGGTAGACATGTAGGAGGAGGTTGACGGGCTGCAACTCGTCGGCCAAGTATGTCCCACACGTGCTGTACTAGATTCAAGTCCGGTGAGAATTCTGGCCAGTCCATACGGGACATATCCTCCGATTGAAGGCATTCGCTTACGATGTTTGCACGGTGAGGACGGGCGTTGTCATCCATAAACACAAATTGTGCGCCCATGGCGCCCAGAAACAAACGTACATGTTGTTCCAGAATGACGTCCCGATAAATTTGGCTTGTCATAGCTCCAATTTGAACATGCAGGTCAGTTCTGGAACCCAGAATAATTCCACCCGAAACGAGCACTCCTGCACCACCGTAACGGTGTCGTTCAATGATGTTTTCTTGGTGGTAACGGGTACCTGGAGCTCTACATATGAAAGTCCGGCGAGAATCAGACTGCAAGCTAAACCTGAACTCGTTGGAAAACATCACACAAGCCTACTGTTGCGGTGTCCACACTGCATGCTCTCTACTCCAGGCTAAACGCAGGCGACAGTGAGTTGCAGTAAGTGGAACGCATCTGACAGGTCTACGAGCATATAGACCAATTTGCCCTAAGCATCTGTACACGGTCTGCCTTGAAATTGTCTTACCAGTGGCTGAAGAGAGCTGACAAGACAGGTCTGATGCTGTGCTCCGCCTGTTTCCTTTGGCAGTAACTGCCAAATACCGGTCCTCATTCGGCGTTGTAACTGTGGGGCGACCTGAGCTGTAACGTCTACTCACATTACCATCATCTTGGTATCGTTGCCAAAGCCTGGAGATGACACTCTGGGCAATTCCAAGTTCGTCTGATACTTCCAGTTGGGTACGCCCACATTCCAGACGGCCGATAATTCTACCACGTAAAAAATCATCCAAATGAGCCCTTTGTGTCATAACTAATCGGTTATTGCACTGAAATCCTTATAAAGCGCCTGCGAACAATTTTACTTCTTTGCCTGTATTCCTTATATATCACTCTCTCATACTCTCGTCATTGTGACGTACCATCGGTGTCATCTGGTTACTTCCTGAAATTTGCATATGATTCTTGAAGATGTGTGTAGTGATTTTGTAGGTGATATATTTATTTTAGAGTTCGATTTCCGCGTGACTCCGAATTATCCTTAATTTATGGACATGAGTGTATATACCATTAGCCATTTTTAAAATATGCGCGCAAGGTGGAAACATGGCGAAATATTTTGTCACAAAGAGGCTTAAATTACAAAAATATTTGTGGCAACACAAAATTTCTGATTACTAGTTTCCAAAGCAGTTATATTATGTAGACAGCTATAAAAAGGTGGAAGTAATTGCTTTTAAAATAAATAAAATATCCCAATTCTTGCAACAGTCACATATTCGAAGATCATGAGCGGTTTAAGGTGTATGAGTCCCCTTTTAATAAAAAAAACTAATGTATCTCATGTAGACATAATATGATTACACCTAGTATTATATCTATTCTGTGCATTGAAAACCACCTTCTCTATGTATTAGAAAGTTAGTACGGAAACCTTACTTTCTGTATTAAAAAAATTATTACATCTTATAAGGAATTATGGCATTTCTCCCGTTCGCGCTTATGTGATGCAGTAGTTAGTAAATCCAGCCAAAAAAGTGGAGGATCCTCATCTCAATTTCGGTGAGAGCACAGTTGAGGTTTACCATTTCCCGCCTTGAAAATCCTAGTAGTCTGTATAACTGAATGAAAAAACTAAATTTTCGAGCTTTATCGAAACTTTTAATTAGTTCATCTGCATCAATAGCCCATGTAACTTTACGCCTCATAGGTATTTTTTGCTAGACTAATGAATCGTTGCCGAGTCTTGTATCAAAAGTGTAGGTTTTAATAAATTTTAATTTTGAAAATCTCGTCTGAACATCTTACTGATCATGACAATGTCACAACAATTTTTTGAGCAATAATGAATACGTTTAAGCAGATTCAAATAACATTCCTTTTTTTTTAGATATATATATATATACACACACACCTGTAATTATTTTAGAAATGTAGAACACATAAAATATTGAAGCATGAAGCATAATTGCAGTTGTAACAAATCTAATAAGAAGCAGACGTACCGGACTTAAATAATATTCCTTATGCTTTAGTTAAACATTTTGCCTGCCAAAAAATAACTTGGTACACTAGTCATTCCTGTTATAGAATGCAACATTTACATTTTTGATATTGTTTGAGATAAGAAGATTCATGATTCATGATTGAAGACTGCGCAAGCAGCAGTCTAGCTTGGCCGAGATGTAGAAGCTAAGCGTGATGCGATGCGTTCAGGACGAAATCTCAATTCAGAGGGCGTTAGTTTTGGTTTCAGTCCCGTTTGATTGGATAAATAATAAAGTCTCTATAATTATTATTGGCTGAAGGCTTATGCAAGTTTTTTTAATCAGAATATTATGTAAGTCATAGGATATGGAATAATCTAGAAATAAAGCATTCTAGAGAAAGTTATTATAGGGGATTACTATTTTTAGAATGGAAAGGTGAAATACCCAAATTAAAATTGGCTATTGATATTTTAGGTTATATTTTTGATTTGCATATTTTTTATCTTACAAATCTCTCCCCGCAAAGGGAAAAAGTTTTAGCGACAGAAAAGTCTTTTTGAGCAAACAAGCATTAGAGCAACAAAATAAACAAAATGTGTGGACAATGTAATATATTGTATAGATTTATTGTGTAGACAGAAGGATGAAACTCGCAGCCTTAGATACGCCATAATTCGTATCTCATAACATAATCGCAACTACATCGTTCCGACATAATCACAACTTGAAACTCATATTCAGATTCACACATCATTTTGGACGCAGTACGCACCTGACAAGTTTGGAATTTTAGCACTTCTTCAGATAATGGGTGATATAGACAAGTAGGCAGCGACATGTTGGTTTAAAGGAAGGAAGCAGAAATATGTATGACGCATTCAGAAGAGTGAGAGATATAAAACAGTTTTGGTTTCAATAACCTATATGTAATTCAATAATAAATATGAATCTTATTCCGTGATTGGGTAACCCCTGTCTGCATTGCAGTGTTACGTAAGATATTATGATGCTGATTAATTTTGAAATGACGCAATCTGATATTTCGTAAATAATTATTTTTAGGCCAGAGAGAGGAAGTACCCAAATTAAAATGAAGAATAAAAGACATTATTGCCATTTAAAATTAAAAGTTTGCTTTACGTATTTTTATCTTACATATGTATGTAATAAGACTATGCCATTATTGTAATAAGATGACTTGGGGGAAGAAAGTTGCAACCGATTGACGATCGTTTTCTGCATTATAACTTGAAGAAGCTTTACTGCGCAGTTAGAAAGATGACACTTGAAGACAGACATGTAATAGAAACAAACTTATAAGTAATAAACAGCAGAAATTTTGATGGGGTAGAAATGTTGATCTATAATGAATAGGAGACTGGCAGCCGAGGCACATTAAATTTTCATTTTATTTTCAGTAACCATATTGCGGCCACGAACAACTTCGTACATTATTTGTGCCTATTTCAAGATGTTTACATTTTTGATAACTTTGCAGCAAGAAGGAAGCAGCAGACAGCAGCCCAGGTAGGCCGAAGAGTAGCGAAGAAGTGTGTTACGTTCAGGGTGACATCGTAATTGAGACTGAGTTTTGGTTCTCAATGCATTTTGATTGGATAATTATTACTGCTGTAATATTATTATTGGATGTTTGAGTTTTAGTTCCATTTACAACATCATAATTATGTAAGAGTCATATGACATCGATTAATCTCGAAATGACGCAGTGAAAAAAGGTAGAGATTACTATTTTTAGAATGCAGAGGGGAAATTAATTTACGTTGCTAATTTAAATTATAATTTATCTTTTACATATTTTTATTTTTCTGCATATTATATATATATATATATATATATATATATGAGTTTTCTTTGTTCAACAAATTTGTTTGTGGTTACAATAATGTAAAAGCAATTCTACCTAAATTATTTTAATATACGTTATATTGCCTGTATTTGCATTTCTGTTAAACGTATTTATTCATAATATTCAAATAATATTTATTTAGCATAAAATTAAAAACAATTTTGCCATAGCTAAAAATACTCAAACAATTAACGATTTTTTTCATGGATAACAGAATTGAATTAGATTATAATTTAATTTCTAGAGGCTGACTAGACTGAATTAGATTGAATTTCTAGACTGAATTTCATTTTCTAGAGGCATTTCACATTCAAAAAAATCTGTCTGTTCTAGTTAACGACCCTAATTCCAATCCATCTTTGCTTTCAGCCTTTAGGGAAATTATTTTTCAATTCTCGTTTCATTAACAGATGGCGTCAGTACCTTAACTCCTCTCCAGCCATTCTTATCTTATCTAATCACTATATCTTATACCGTTCATTTGCGCTTTGGCAGCTAAGGATGATGGTTCGGTAAAACTATCGAAACTAGTCCTATGAAAATTGTTTGACTTCTAAATTAATAAATTGATGTGTGTTTTGTATTTTAAATATTGAAATAATTTTTGTATACTTTGATATTCAAACTAAAATTAAATTTATTAAATTGTTGAAAGTTGCTTATAAAAAAACCTTGTATTATTAAATACATGGAATTTTTATGAACAACTTTTCAAAACTTTAACTAAAAATGTCAGACTGTTCATTGGCCCAGAAAGGTATTATAATGGATCTGCTGATGGTTCCAAATTATCAGATTTTAGGCACTCCAGTTTTGTCCTAAAATGCAGATAAAACACCGCTGTAACTTCACCACTTCATATTGGATGGAAGAATATATCAAGTCGAAAGATGGGAAAAAGAAACTTTATTGTGCACATTTATTAATAGAAAATATTCAGAAATATATTTCAGATATACATATGTTATATTTTATAGATATGTGTTTTATACATTTATAGATAAGTGTATATGCGTATTTATATATTTTACAATGTTTTCCTTATAAGATTTCTCTTACAGGTTGCATGAAAAATAACACTGCATATGAAAATGATGAGGAATTCGTAGACCCTGAAAACCCATGCCTAAAATGTCAGTGCAAGAATGGATCCATAATGTGCTCTGCGCTAGAATGTCCTCCAGTAAAGCCATGTCGACAGAATGCTGTCGTAATTTTAGACGGAGAGTGCTGCCCTTTCTGTTCAACTTGCGGACCTCATCATGAGGGTTCATATTGGATGGAAAGCCCTTGCCATAACTGTACATGTCAAGTAAATTCAGTTTCTTTTATATTTTGTGGAAATTTTAAAGAAATGGAATGGATCTTAATTTATTAACTGTATCAGCGAATTTAAATACAAAAAAGACAGGTTGTTTTCATTTTGAAGTATTATTTTTAAAACAAATATTACTTTAGCCTTTGGCGCTGAATGAGGATTGGAACTGAATTGGTGTTCCCCCCTCTTTTATCTATTAATTGTGGAGGAACCTTGTGAACTACTAAGCAAATACTCGCTTAAGTCCAGAAACAGAAACGTAAAACTCAAGAAAGGTTAGTTACCCTTTATTGCTCAAACTAAAAGTGTACAGACGGTCCCTTTCTCAGGACGTATACCAAAGCCTCCACTTGGGCTTCAAATCAAAGATGTAAGAAATAAGAACTTAACTAATGACTAACTAAATAGATTTAGCCGAAGCTAACACAGTTTCTAAGTAGTTGGCTCCTAATATTAAATCAGCTGACGAAGCTTATACGGCCGAGCGTAATACAGCTTAGAGAGACGTAGTCAAAAGGCAAACGCGCGCTATTCAGGAAATTGAATTCTCTCTACCGAAGTCAGTGGAGTTTTGACTACTCCTTCTCATTCGCATTTAGCGCGATTCTAAAACTCATACTGGTAAGGAATTGTAAGCTAAAATTAGGAGAGATAGGAAAGGCGTTTTAACTTAAAAATAACTGTTATAAACTTAGGATAAACCTTAAAAAATAATTATTCCTCTTGCCCCAAAAATTATTTTAGCTTGTAATTTTTTCTACGTGTACTGATATGATGCAAGTTAAATCTTTCTGTGGATAGAATGAAACGGATCTGAAAAACTACAATTGTTCCTGGCTATTAGGTGGTATTTCAAACACTTAATAATGATTGTACATGAGTAATTTGTTATAATTAAACGTTGATAATAGTTCACCTTCCTTAAATTACATCAAAAGGCTATAAGGTATTTCTCCAGCCTTCTTAGCGAGCTTTCGTGGTGTAGTGGTCTGCACGCTCAGCGCGTAATTGAGAGGTCCACGGTTCGATTCCCGGCGAAAGCGTTGCATATTTTTCATCTTGCCTGCTTCCAAAAATCCTAATGTCTCTATATTGGCGACCGAACTAAAAGGGTGTTAGATGATAATTCTCCTCATCCAGGATTTGGAGATTGGATTCCCTAAAAGCCCTAATCTCCCTTTAAAAGGGGGAAGTATATAAGGTAATTCTCACTCCTTCTTAGCGAGCCTTCGTGGTGTCTGCACGCTCAGCGCGTAATTGAGGGTCCGCGGTTCGATTCTCGGAGAAGGCGTTGCATCATATTTTTCATCTTTCCTGCTTCCATAATACCTAATGTCTCTACAAGGCTAATAATGTTTTGATTTAATTCCTTTTCTGCTTTCTAAGCTCGAATAAAATGATCGTGTCTTCTTCTCACGGAAAATTTAGGCAGCAAACTATTCATTACTTATAACACTTATACTCTTTACTTATAATCAAATCATCAGCATCTTGTTTCCATGACAGAAGTCTAATTATTTTTATTCTGTATCCTGCAACATTGTCTGTAGAAAAATTGAGATTGAGTAATTTTGCTTTCACTGAGTGAATCAAAATTTGAACAAATCTCAGAACCAAAGCATATTGCATCTAAGTCCTAACTTTTAAAACTGAGAGAAAGGACAAACACAGTTGAGTTTTTATTTAATAAACATAATTTCTCTTAATTAAGTTACAATAACACGCCGAACAAATACTAATTCAGAAGTCAAACAACAAAAATCAGCGTTATATTTTCGAAATTTTCACAGGAATAGTTTCGATGGTTTTTACCGAACCACCATCCTCAGCTGTAAAACCGCAAGTGAACAAGATAGGAAATGATGATTAGATAAGATAAGAAAGCCTGGACAAGAATAATCAAGTGGCGCCATCTGTTGATGAAACGAGAACTAAAACATAATTTCTTTAAAGGCCGAAGGCAAAGTTGGATTGGAATTAGGATCGTTAACTAGACCAGAAAGATTATTTTGAATGTGAAATGTCTCTAGAAAATCCAGTTCTTCAATGGAAACACAGAAGTCTTCTGTTGCTCAACATTGTTGGTCCAAAAATCACACTTTCAATTTTTCTGCTTCCAAAATTATTCAAAAATCATCTTCCATTGGAGAACTGGATTTTCTAGAGGCATTTCACATTCAAAAAAAATCTTTCTGGTCTAGTTAACGATCCTAATTCCAATCCAATTTTGCCTTCGGCCTTTAAAGAAATTATGTTTTAGTTCTGGTTTCATCAACAGATGGCGCCACTTGATCATTCTTGTCCAGGCTTTCTTATCTTATCTAATCTTCTTCATTTGCGGTTTTACAGCTGAGGATGGTAGTTCGGTAAAACATCGCTCAAAATTGGAAACAGGGATTTTACTTTTGTTTACTTCTTTGTTATTGATTGATTTCTTGCTTTGGTTTGGTTGATACACGAAACTGTATGGTATAAGTATAGAATGAGATTTGGTAATCAATACACTTAATTATTTCTTTCATTTACAAAAATGCAGGGTCTTTTTTTATGAATATTATGTTTCTTTGAGTCGTTGAAAATATTGCTATGCCAAATTTTATAAAAGTTTATTCTCATATGAAAAATTTCAATCTCTGGCTTGATGCTAAATTCATTTGAATAATGGTTAGAGAAATTTGTAGGCACTGTTTAGAAAAGATGTCGAAAACCATTCAGCATTGATACATATAAATTCTATTTTTGGAAACGAAAATATATCTGAAAATAGGAATTTGTGATCAGCTGAATTATGCTAAATTCATTTGAATAATGGTTAGAGAAATTTGTAGGCACTGTTTAGAAAAAGATGTCGAAAACCATTCAGCATTGATACATACGGATATATCTGAAAATAGGAAACCTATCACTGAATTATAGAATTAGCTTGTAGATTTTTGCTTAAGTTTTAAATTATCGTTTACTGCGCTTGCTTTTTATAGTTGAATATTTTCCCTTCCATATTTGTTTCAAAATACAACTTAGCGATTTGGAAGGAACAAAATGTTCCAACTTCAGTCACCACCATGTCATGTCTCTCTTCCTTCAATCTCAATTGCATGAAATTCATAGACTTCAGATTAGAAACCTATTAAAATAACTACTTCTAAGTACCATTTTGTGCAAAAAGTCTTGATTGATAAGAACTCAAACTGAAGATCTTTGAGTGCTATTTCCAACTTTATACATTTTTCGAAATGAAGGTTTATGTTTAAATGAACATTCGAATGACCTTCGAAATGAAGGTCATAGTTTAAATGAATTCCACTTTGTCTGCTTAAGCAATAGATCGTTTAAAACTGATGATGTTTGAGATTTTGGAATGTATAATTTTGTCAGATTCAAGCCCTGCCAATATGAGCAGATGTAACTCAGATTGTGAGCAGATGTATGTAACTCAAATTTAACTCTCATGCCCTATGTTATTTGGCTTTGCGTAAAGCAAGTTTTTATTTCTAAATCTAAAAAGTCAAATAATTTTTATGTAGAATGTATAGATATACATTATATAAAATAAATAGGCTCTAAAAAATCTGAAATCAGATTTTTTTTCTTTTATGGTAATGTTGTAGAGCTTCTCACTTTTGTTCTACTAAATTAAATGTCGAGGAACCTAGTCAATTATTAAGCGAATTATCGCTTAGTTCAAAATAACAGAAATCGTAAACTCAGGGTAACTCAGGTAAACTTTATTCTCTCAAAATAAGATGAACAGTCGGCCCCTTTCTTCGGGTTTACAACAAAGCCTCCACTTGGGTTTAAACACAACAAACTCATTTCATTAATTCTTTTACAGCAAACTTATTTCTAGCTAGATTTTTCTGTAACTTGACCAATAAAATCTTTATAGTCTTTCCTTCTACTTTGTGCGGAATGCGTCCAGGCTCCATGCAGCTTGTTTGGGAGAGGTTAACGCCTACTGCACAAGGATTCTATTTTAGTGGAGATCTTTTGTAATGACTCTAGGTTTCATTAGGGATTTAAACGCAAGATTTATTCTCCACCAGCAACACAGAACTAGAAAAAAACAACTAGCTTCGAATAATTTCTACTCGGCGATGAAACTCGGATAATGTTTTCTTATACCTACGACTCACAATTTTTTGTTTGCAGATTACAGGTTTAATGTTTACAGATATTGAGAGATTTGGGGACTTGTGCGGCCATGAATTGTATATGAAGAATCATATAATTTGAGCAATTTAGGGAAAGCAGCATACGATAATACCGTAGATGGATTTGTGACGCGGAGCAGGTTCGTGGACTTAAACATTTTTCTCTCAATAAATTTGGAAAAAAAAATTAAAAGTTGGAGAAAGACTACATTTGTAAATCAATCTGGGGAACTTTAGCCTCGGATTCAAGATGATATTCTTCCATTCATAACAAAGCAATATAAAGATGAAATGCTATATAAGTTTATGATTCATGGTAATTTCAAACTACTTATAAAATTTCTTGTTTATTATGCGATTAATATATTATTCTTCCAGATTAATTTTAATTGATAATTATATTTTGGTACGGTACAAAGAAAAATAGTGTAAAATTAAGTAATAATATCCATTTTTTCACTGAATGTGATACAGCATTTGGTATAAATTGAAACTGTGTAGTAGTAGAAATTTTAATTGAGTACAAGGAAAAAATTAAATAGAAATATGCTTCAAAAAATTTCTCATAAATATGTAATCTTAGGATGGCCATAGAATAGTCAAAACAACTTGCAAAATAATTAATTTTCTGAACATTTCTAACAAATAGTTAACTAAAAAAACAGTGTTGTAATGGTAACGTTTCCATAATGTTTTCAACATGTATTAATATACGCATGTCTTGTAATAAATACCTAATATTTATGTATAAAAATCTCCTTTGTGTATAAAAATTTGTACTATAGGAATATAATCTTACTTGTTATTTAAAATAGGCTGGAAATGTTCTGTGTTCGGTGATTGATTGTCCAATGCCTTCGTGCCAATATCCTGCCAGAGCAGTAGGAGAATGCTGCCGTCATTGTGATGGTAAGGTTCATCCTGTTCAATTAAGGTATTTTCTTCCACGCTTACAATTTCCTTTCATGTGTGCAGGTGCAAGAATCTAACTCTTGTAGGGTTTATATTTATTTTAACTAACATTTATTTTAAGTTTAAACTATCTTTCCTGTCAAGCCTTACTTTCCCCTGGAACTGCCAATGCCAGAATATGTAAATTTGAGTAGAACGCGCAAGCATTCAAATTATCAGCGGAAGTATTATGATTTAAATAGAAGGAAACGAGTTCGGTGTGTGATATTCTTACTTAGCGAGCGCGGAGGTAGTTAGCGAGAATTTGAAGGACCCCGCGTTTCGGCCTATGTGCTTGGCGGGAAGTAGTGTTAATCGTTCCAGTGAGCTTCAAGTCTGCTGAATTAGCAGCGGTATTGTAAAACGCGGTGAGTTAGTTATTTTAGAGAGCCTCGTAGTTAGAATCTTGTCTTTAGTTTCTTTTCAGGTTATTATTTTTATTTGACTGCCGAGTTGGCACCGTCTGTAAGCGTCAAGAGCACGCAATTGTAATTTATTACGTTGAATAAAAAGGGACTTAAACCCTTTACAAGACTCTGTGTGTTATACTGTTTTCACAGTCACCCCTTGGTTGCGTGCAAGTTGGAGGCGCGCAACGTTATATTGGCGCCCGAACACTTATCGAACTGAAATGGCCGAAAACTGGATGGAAGCCGCTGGACAACACCAAGAAATGACAAGTCAGTTAGGATTTGGATACCTGGTCCAGACTTTGAGAGCATCAATCAAGCCAAACGTCCATTTCGACGGAAAAAATTCGGTGGCGGTATTTCTAGAAGGTCTAGAAAACCACTTTCAGCTCTACCCTGTGCCTGAAAGACAAAAAGTTGCCATCGCCACATCAGCACTAAGAGGACAGGCCGCGCTATGGTGGAAAAACATAGGCAAATTTTTACTAGGTGAATTTGGAAGCCCGACGTATACATTTGAAAATTTCAAAAAATCGTTAGTAAAAGGCCTTCCCCATAGTGAAAGATCGCGCACGGCTGGAAGCCGAACTATATAGTTTCTATCAACGGGATACAGCACAATTGACGGACTTTATTTTACGAAAAATCAAGCTAACGGATATGCTGTATGGAAAGAAACCCGATGCGGAGATAATTGAAATAATATTACCAAGATTGTTACCCGCTGTCCAAGACTACTTTGAAATTAGAAACCCAAGCACATTGCAGGAACTTTTCGAATTGGCGGTGAAGTTTCAAAATCGCAGAATAGCGGAAAAAGCGAGAGGGGAAACATATTCTCAAAGTACCCGAAGGAAATCTTCAAAGGAGGAAACCAGAAATGGAAATCGCTCTTATGGGGGAAAGAACTATCAAGCTAACGCATCGAAACTCGAAGGTCAAGGCCCAAAAAGAAAATTTGAAAATAAACATCCGCGTACCCAGAAGACAGATTGAAAGGAAAGCTTTAAACGAATAGAGGGGCCTGTGAAAGGGAGGGTCCAAACCCCGGAAGTTTTAAAAAAACCCTCAAATAGACATTTAAACACCGTCATCGTAAAAAACTCACAGCTACCAATTATACAAGTCCTGGTTGGCGATGTACCAGTCGAAGCCCTCATCGATACAGGAGCAGAAGGAAATTTTATGAGTGAAAATTTCTTCAAAAAGAATTTTTATAGGATACGATTATTTAAAACCAGAAATACGGAAATTATAGCGGCGCAAGGAAAAACATGTCACTGCATCGGGAAATTATCATTAAACTTACAGGTAAAAGAGGAAAGTCTCAAAGTATTAATTTTTGTGGTGAAGGATCTGCAACACTCTCTTATTTTAGGTATGGAGTTTTTAAGGGCCGCGAGGGCCAAATTAAATTTTCAAGATAGTTCCGTGGTGTTGGAGATGGACCAGAGGGTGGTGGAACCTGTGGAGACACCTGAATTGGACCTTAGCCATCTGAATGACCATGAAAGTAAAGCAATACAGCAAGTGGTGAGTAATTTTTCTCATTTGTTTTCAGAAAAACCAGGAAACTGCCAAATCGTGACACATAAGATTCAATTAAATGCCGAAAAACCTTGTAGGACTAAACCTTACCGTTATGACAAACAAAAAGAACTTAATCATCGAAGAACATATTCAGGAGATGTTAAAGAATAAAATAATAACGCCCATAAATAGTGAGTACGCGAGTCCAGTCGTACTATGTAGGAAAAAAAACGAGTTTCCTCCTTCGGATAAAAGGGCTTGGAGGTTTGCTATTGATTACAGAAAAACTAAATAGTATTACCAGATTTCCAGTTTACCCTTTGCCGGTTATAGACGAGATCATTAGACAGATCAAATCGACAAGATATATGTCTACTTTGGACTTAACGTCTGGCTACTATCAAATAGCTATGAGACCCGAAGATATACATAAAACCGCGTTTATAACAAAATCGGGCACTTATGCATTTTTACGCATGCCCTTTGGGTTGTGTGGGGCCCATCAACATTCCAGAGAGCTATGGACATTGTTCTAAAGCCTGTCCTAGGAAAATCAACTTTAATTTATCTAGATGATATAATTATAACGAGTAGTACGTTGGAACAACACATTAATGACCTCGAACAAGTTTTTAAATTATTAAAAGAGGCCGGTCTTACAATTAACGCCTCAAAATGCAATTTCGCAACTAAAGAACTTAAATATCTCGGTTATAAAATTTCGCAAAAGGGTATAGAAACGTAAGATTCAAAAATAAAAGCTATTAAGAATTTCCCACCGCCCAACACCTCCAAGAAACTTTCTTCTTTCTTTGGATTATGTTCTTACTATCGATCTTTCATAAAAGATTTCGCTAATATTGTTGAACCACTCTTAGTAATCAAAAGAAAAAGGGCTAAATTTACGTGGACAGCGGAAGCTAACACAGCTTTTGAAAGATTAAAAGAAGCGCTTATTAATGCCCCCTGTTTTTAAAATTCCCTGAGGGGGACGAAAACCTGGAAATTGCAGCAGATGCGTCAGACTATGCGGTGGGTGGGGTTCTTATGCAAAATAACCATCCGCTGGCATTTTTTAGTAAAACGTTGAATCAGACACAAAGGAATTATACAGAAAAGTATTTTAAAAAGGGTACGCGAGGCGGTACAGAAAGAGAAACATTAGCCGTATTAATGGCTGTACACAAATTTCGAGTTTATTTCGGCAAATCGCCAGTAACAGTCTTTTCGGATCATGCGGCTGTTGGTAGACTTTACTCGGGGAAAAATCTAACGTCCAGGTTAATAAGATGGGCTTTAAAACTCCAAGAATATAATATCACAATAAAATATAAACCGGGTAAGGAAAACAATGTAGCTGACGCACTTTCTCGTATAAAACTGGACGACGAAGGAAATGAACTTAAATGCGCTGTGTTGACTTCAAAATTTTTAGATTCTAGAGATACGGTTATTTCTGAACTGAAAGCTGATCCTGAATTTGGAAATATCTATGCTTATTTGAAAGACCCCGAAAGCTTTGAGCATACAGATATCGATGCGATAAGAAATAGAGCAAAAAACTATGAAATAATAGATAATTTATTATTTTTTATACGAAAACAACAAACGAAAATCTTGAGTATAAGCCAGTCATCCCAGCCTCGCTTCGATTAAGCATTTTGAAGGAGTTGCACGAAAAAAAAACAGCGGGCCACCTAGGGGTCAGAAAGACTTTAAAAAGGGTACGCGAGGCGGTATATTTCCCGCAATTATACAAAATAGTAACGGCGTATGTCAGGTCCTGCAATCAATGTCAGTTAATAAATGATATTAATTACAGCCCGGCCGGGTACTTAAATAGCATTCGCGCTACATTTCCGAATGAAATTTTAGGCATAGATCTCCTTGGTCCCTTCCCCCAGAGCGAGTTAAATAAAAATCGTTTTCTTTTAGTAATAGTAGATCATTTTTCAAAATGGATAGAAATTGTTCCTCTTAAACGCGCGTCAGCCAAAACAGTCGCAGATGCATTCTTACACAGATACATTTTAAAATACGGTGCACCGATAAAAGTCATTAGCGATAACGGAAAAAAATTCATTAGTCAAATATTTGAAAACATATGCAATGGACTTGGCATACGCCATATCAAAATGGTTCCGTATAGACCACAGGCTAACATAGCAGAAAGAGTTAATAAAAACATAGTAAAAATAATTCGCAGTTACGTGAGCACACATCACAAGCGCTGGGATGGCTACATAAATGAATTAGCTTATGCTTTAAGAACGGCACATCATGATACTACGGGAAAAACTCCAGCAGAATTATTTTAGGCAGAAAGTTAATTACGCCTTTAGATAAATTATTCTTTGTGCAACAAAGAGAGCAGGAGTTTAAACAAAAAGATGTGCAAAAGTTGATTGATCAGGCGCTTAAAACCTCGGATACGGCAAGAAATAGGCAGAAAATATATTACGATAGAAAACGCCGTGAAGCAGATTTTAAAGTTGGGGATAAAGTATTGAAGCGGAAATTTTCTTTATCAAGTGCCCCAGACAATTTTATGGCAAAGCTAGCTCCAAAGTTTGAAGGCCCCTATGTAATTCAGGAAATCAAAGGAGTAGTCTTATATCTTAAGAACGAGAGAGGGGAAATCTGTAAAGCAAGTCCCGACCAGGTGAAAAAATACTATAATCCAAATGATTTTGAAATCCTTAAAAGTTTCTTGCAGGACTCAAGTCTAAACGAAATAGAAGGGCCAGAGAACAACTATTCCACCACCCAAGAAACAGAGAACTGAAGAGAGACCTAGCACTTCTACAAACCGGACGTCGGTATCAAAAAGAAAAAAATAATTTTCAGACTCCAGCGTTTAAGAAAAACAAAAATACAGATGGACCGGGTAAAGAAACCGTGGTAAAGAGAAAAACACCACCTACAAAGGATAGCAGGAGAAATTACACATCAAGGAAAACGCGCACACGGCCACAGAGTCAGGTGCCAGCAAGGCCGCCGTTCCGGAAACTGAAACGC